AACGTTGGTGATAATTAGTGGGGATAATAGAGCCGTTTAAGTGTGAAAACAATTAATTTTTCTAGGTGGAGCGTCTCATGCATCGATGCATGATCAAGTATGCATCGGTGCATTCGTGTAAAATTCAAATATTTTGACCGTTGGAACACTTGGTGCATCGGTGCACCAAGTGTGCATCGATGCATGAAATGCATTCGATGTTTGAAAATAGCCTGATGCATCGATGCATGGCTTGTGCATCGATGCATCAAATGCATTCGATGTTTTGAAAATATTCAGAGTGATTAGTGGGGATAATAGAGCCGTTTAAGTGTGAAAACAATTAATTTTTCTAGGTGGAGGTCTCATGCATCGATGCATGATCAAGTATGCATCGGTGCATTCGTGTAAATTCAAATATTTTGACCGTTGGAAACTTGGTGCATCGGTGCACCAAGTGCATCGATGCATGAAATGCATTCGATGTTTGAAAAATAGCCTGATGCATCGATGCATGGCTGTGCATCGATGCATCAAATGCATTCGATGTTTTGAAAATATTCAGAGTGCATCGATGCATGGAGAGTGCATCGGTGCATGGAATGCATTCGATGTTCAATTAATTCATCGATGCATCGATGCATGGACTGATGCATCGGTGCATGCCTTTGAATAATTGATTTAAGACTTGTTTTTGGTTCAAAATACTTTGTGAAAATTGTTTCAAAAATAGTTTAAGTACAAATCACAATTTTACACATTTAGTAAGGATTAAAATTGATCTTGAAAAACTTGGAGTAATAATTTGATATTCGGTTAATTGAATCGAATTTGTAAAATCATTTGTGAAATCTTAAAATTCATTTAACTTAATTTGTTATATCGAAATATCAAAAATGTTTTCAACAATATTGTTATGGATCGATACATTTTTATAAAGTATCGACACTTTCAATATATCCGGTAGCGCTTTACATGTTTTGTCATTTATAGACCTGTTTTGTCATTTTTTTACCTATTATATTATTATGGATCGATACATTTTTATAAAGTATCGACACTATCAATATATCAGTAGCGCTTTACCTGTTTTGTCATTTATAGACCGGTTTTGTCATTTTTTTACTTGTTATATTGTTATGGATCGATACATTTTTATAAAGTATCGACACTTTCGATATATCCAGTAGCGCTTTACTTGTTTTGTCATTTATAGACCGGTTTTATCATTTTTTTTACCTGTTATGTTATTATTGATCGATACATTTTTATAAAGTATCGACACTTTCAATATATCCGGTAGCGCTTTACCTGTTTTGTCATTTATAAACCGGTTTTATCGTTTTTTTTACCTCTTATATTATTATGGATCGATACATTTTTATAAAGTATCGCCACTATCAACATATCCGGTAACGCTTTACCTGTTTTGTCATTTATAGACTGGTTTTGTCATTTTTTTACATGTTATATTGTTATGGATAGATACATTTTTATAAAGTATCGACACTTTCAATATATCCGGTAGTGTTTATGTTTGTCATTTATAGACCGGTTTTGTCATTTTTTTACCTGTTATGTATTATTGATCGATACATTTATAAAGTATCGACACTTTCAATATATCCGGTAGCGCTTTACCTGTTTTGTCATTTATAAACCGGTTTTGTCATTTTTTTAACCTGTTATATTATTATGGATCGATACATTTTTATAAAGTATCGACACTATCAACATATCCGGTAGCGCTTTACCTGTTTTTTCATTTATAGACTGATTTTGTCATTTTTTTACATGTTATATTGTTATGGATCGATACATTTTTATAAAGTATCGACACTTTCAATATATCCGGTAGCGCTTTACCTGTTTTGTCATTTTTAGACCGGTTTTGTCATTTTTTACCTCTTATATTGTTATGGATTAATACATTTTCATAAAGTATCGACACAAACCGACAAGCTAAGTTTGTCGGTTGCCAAATTTTTTAATATTTCTTCATGATTTCCACCTATTACATTATTATTACTCGATATTTCCGGTAACGCTAAACCAAATTTATCAAATATCTTTTAATGTATACGATAACGCCGTATATTAACCGTATATTAGTCCACATTTATGGAGACAATCCCCTTAAATTGATATTAAGCCATATTAGTATAAAGTTAAAAAAGTATGTGTATGTGATTTAAAGAATCTTTAAAATAAAATAATCCGCTCATGTTGACGTTATTAAACTTTAATTAATTTATTTATCTTTCTAGCTAATGGGTGGACGTAAATACGTTTAAAAGTTGCACGTCATCGGCAGCAATTTGTATCCTGGAAATGTGAATCCCAATCCGGACCCGCTTTTTATCTTATCCGTCAGTTAAAACTCGGAAAGGACGGTGCAGCATGACTGGTCCCAGACGCCGAAATCGTTAGTCATTTGAACTCGCCGTGTTATTCCTCCACGTGTGAAACACGCCACTTCGGCAAATAGAGTAGCGCGTGGAGATTGCGGAATTGAATAATCGATACTCCTTGAAGTTCTCAAACACTTCACTGCCCATATGACTCCATCTTTTGTTTAAAATGCCAAGAATTGTGGCGTAATTTATTTTTTTTACTATAGAATTGTGGCGTAATTAAATAAAGGGTAAAGTATAGTAGTGGCCACTAAACTTTTCTAAAACTTTCATTTAGGTCTCATAACTTTTAAAACTTGTAATACAATCCCCCAATATTTAGTCCGTTTTCAATATGGTCCCCGACGTAACTGTTGGGGACCGTATTGCAAACAGACTAAATGTTGGGGGATTATATTGCAAGTTTTAAAAGTTGGGGGACCTAAATGAAAGCTTTAAAAAAGTTCAGTGACCATTACTATACTTTACACTTAAATAAACTAGTTTGTTAATTTATACTAAATTTGTGTAAATTATTTCTTTATTTTGATCTTAAGCACGCCTTAAACAACTTGATTATTTTTAATCTTAAACGTGTCTTAAACGCCTTGATTATTTTAATCTTAAATCCTAAAATCAATAACTCTACTCTTACAATTCTAAACTTCAAACCCCAAAGCTTGTTAAATGTATGTATTTTAAATGTGCAATTGGCGCATTGAGATCCCTTGAAAGAACAAATCAGACTAACTAAAGTAATATTATAAAGTGTAAATTAAACGTTTAGCACCTAAATTATCAATTTTAATACCTAAATTTTTATTTTTTTCAAAGACATACATAAAATTTTGTTTTTGTTTCATTTTAATACTTATGTTCAAAATTTAACATTAAGTTTTGGAAAAAATTGAAAGTTTATGTACTAAAACAAACTAAAACTAATAATTTAGGTACTAAACGCATAAATTTTTAACAATAGGTAGTAAAATAAAACAAAAATTAAACATTTAGTATGATTTTGAAAAATTAAAAATTTAGGTATTAAAATAGGTCAAACTGATAATTTAGGTACTAAATGTGTAATTTACCCTATCATCAATATAAAATTTTGGGTAAACTACATGGTAGACCACTAAACTATTTAGTAAAAAGTCAATGTGACCACCGAACTTTCAATTAAATCAATCAGACCACCCAACTATTTAATTGATTTAATCAAACCATCGGTCGTTAATTTTTAACAGAGGTGGTGATGTGTCTGTTAATAAAATTGGCATAATTATACATTTGGTCCTTAATATTAACATATTCTATCAATTTAGTCACTATTTTAATTCAATTAAAAAATTTAACTATTTAATTAGAACGTGACACGTGTCAATACATGATTGAAATGTTTTATTTATGAATTTTAAATTATTAATTAAATAATTTTTCTATTCAATCAGATGGTGATACGTGTTACCACCAATTGAAATGAAAATAAATAGTACTCAAAGGGAATCAAACCAAAAACTTAGGGGAGATAGAGCAACAAACACTCAAACCATTGGGCTAAAGCTCTCCAATAATTTAAAGTTACAACAAATTGTATGTATCTTTTAAAGGTTTACTAAGGATTAAAAATTAAACAAATTATTTGTTTAAATAAATTATTATTTAAATTAATTGTAAAATGTTTTTTTGAATTAAAAATATTCAATTGTTAAATAAATTAGAAAATTTTAAAATTTTTGGTTAATTTGAAAATTGTCCGAATTAACCGAAATTTGTTCGGGTTGGTTATTAAATTTCAAATAAAATTTCGGTTCGATTAATGGTTAAAGAAAAAATCGGTTATTTCGGTTCGGTTAATAATTTTTAAATTAATTCGGTTCGGTTAATAATTTTCAAATAAATTTTGGTTCGATTAACCAACTTAATTAACCAAATTTTTGCTTCGATTAATTTGGTTAATAATTTTCAAATAAATTTTGGTTCGATTAACCGAACCAAATTGACCGATTTTTTTCTTTAACCGCTAATCGAACTGTAATTTATTTCAAAATTATTCACTGAACCGAACAAATTTCAGTTAATTCGATCAATTTTCGAATTAACCAAAAAATTAGAATTTATATAACAATTGAATATTTTTAATTAAAAAAAACAGTTTACAATTAATTTAAATAATAATTTGTTTAATTTTTAATCCTTAACAAACCTTTAAAAGATACATATAAATTATTGTAACTTTAAACCATTGGAGACCTTTAACCCAATGATTTTGGAGCTTGATGCTCTATCCCCCAAAGTCCCTTGAGCACCATTTATTTTCATTTCAATTGATGATAACATATGACACCACCTGATTGAATAAAAAAATTAATTTAAAATTCATAAATAAAATATTTCAATCATGTATTATCACATTCTAATTGAATATTTAAATTTATTTAATTGAATTAAAATAGTAACTAAATTGATAGAATATATAAATATTAAAGACCAAATGTATAATTATATAATTTTATTAACGAACACGTCAAAATTAACGTCAAATGGTTTGATTAAATCAATTAAATAATTGAGTGGTCTGATTGATTCAATTGAAAGTTCGATGATCACATTGATTTTTTACCATAATTTAGTGGTCTCCCGTATAGTTTACCTTAAAAATTTATCTTACATTTTTCACCTACAACCTGCTCTATATTTTTAATCCAACCTACCAGTTTCACTGCCAGGAATTTCATTTCTCGGCCCAATAATTTTACCATACAACGAAGAGTAAGCGATTCAACACAACTTAGGTCACATTTCTACCTGTCCTGAGGAACTATGTTCTCGTTTTCTAAATGGCTATGCGTATCGAGTGTCGAGGCTTTCATCTCAGCAGCGAGTCATGTTGGCACTGCTCTCGCCTGTTAATCATAATAAAACTCCTTAGCTATGTTTTACCGGATTCAAATTAAAGCGTCTAATCTCTTACGTTTTCTAACTTGGCCTGAAAAGCGCGTTCCACTTCCTTGCGGAGGCTTTCAACGTCTGTAACGTATTCTCTGTGATCATCCTCCAACATCAAATTCTCCAGTTGCTTCTTGATCCTCTCCAAAGCTTCACCCAATCTGCAAAACTCCTCGAAAACCATTGCTTCCGTCGTTTTCAATTGCAGAAGATTCTTAATTGCAACAAGTGCCTGTGAACTCGAGGTCAGACGCATCATAAATCAATGATAAGATATACCCATCATCCAATCAATAGTTGTTCATGTATGTAAGCCACAAAACATGAAAATGTGGCTAAAGAATTACCTTCTCCTGGAGATCAAGGTCACTTGATGCAGTAAGATCAACAACAGACTTCAAGAATAAACGATTACTGAAAAACGGCATTTCAGTTTTATCTACTTTTTCTAACTGGCACTCGACCAGATCACCGACCAGAAACACAGCCTTCCTGCGTAACCTAATATCCACGCTTGGACTGCTCAATATGTCCTAAAGAGGGAAATTGTTGTCAATCGCAATTTGCAGGGGTGCATAAAACAAGGGCAAATGCTAAATTCGATCACCTGAAGCATCTTGTCTCCAGCCTCCGCAAAGAACAATTGCTGACCAGCCATATTATTTCGGATCAAGGCTGAAACAGCATAAAATGCTTTAGTGGCTTCATCTGCAGAACTGGAATTCACCATTTTCATAAGTGTTGCCAATGCCCCAAGTTCCAGGGCCTAAGACACGTACAACTTTGCAAAGTTAGTTGATGTAGAATATACATCGATCAAATGTCAAGAGGAAGATGACTTACCTGCTTCTGAACATATGGATTATTTTGACTTGCTTTCCCAAGTATCCATGCAGAAATTTTCCTTACATCTGAGTCGGAGTGATCAAGCTCCCGTATAATCACACCAAGGCCACCAAGTTTACACATATCTGAGAAGCAAAACCTTAATGATGTGAGCCACATTTCTTTAGACGAGCAGCCTAGAGGAAAAATAGCGACAGCAAGGACGAAGGAAAAGATACTACAAAAAAAAAACATAAGTACTTATAACTTAACCCAAAACCCTAGTAAAATGCAACATACTAAATATAAGCCTAGAACCCTAATACTGGGGAAAGAATTTAATTTTTTTATAAAAATGGGAGGTCTAATTAAAACCCCCATTCATAACCATCAAGCTACCAAAATAGCTCGACGGAAATTGGAAGGAGGAAAAGAGTACCTCGAGAATTTTATTTCTGTAATACCAAGTACATTAAAATTCCAAAAACCCTTACATAACCAAAATACAACCTGAAGAACAATTCTCTCTACATACCCAATAAATCTAAAACGTAATCTCTAATGGAACAAGATAACCATTAATACAACTTAAGCTTCCTAATCAAACCAAAACAGAAACATAAACAATACAAAATTACCCAATACCCGATTTTGCAAGCTCATCTGCCTTTCAATTACAACATCTGTTAGTGTGCCTTTCAATTACTGGGGAAAGAAATAAAATACAAACTAATATAAAACAGACTAAAAAATACGAAATAACCTAAATATATGCAAAGGTTACAATCGTATCCCTAAGATGTAAAATAAATTCCTATATAACTCAATCCTTTAACTGGCATATTTCCATTCTCCCTAGTTGGGGAAAAATTCTACCTCGAGTTTTTGAAAAATTCAAGCAAAGAAATTTACTATGAAAAACTTCACAAGTGGAACAATAGCCTAGTATAAATAGCTTTTTAGAGACAGCCACATAGGTAGCCATATTACAGTGAACTAATATATATTAGTGACTCTACAACTATAATCCCTAGTTTTCTTAACCGCATGAAACACCACTGCAATTCTTAACCGCATCAAAGTTTCACAACAAAGCCCAAACAAATAAAACCTAATATAGCAAAATTAGATAAAGCTCAATAAGTTCCCATTCTTAACCACATGAAGCCAAACTGCGATTCTTGTAAGAAAATTGTAAATATTGTACACATACTTGGACAGAAAGAGTTAAATCTTACTGGAAAAAGTTTGAATAATGAATATTTTAGGTTCAGTTAATAGCAACAAAGTGAAGAAATGACACTGGGCAACAACATTCATATATGGAGAAAACTCAAATCTTTAATTTTCTGAAATTTTGCATGCAAATAGATACTCATGTCAACAATTCAGATGTTTTCTTGCTTAAATTATTATGGAAATAACTTGGAAAGAAAGGGATATATATCAATTCTTGAAGCCGCTAAGTAATGCAGCTTTGGGCTAAAACATCACTTGCCATTTGCATTATCAATGGGCTCAACAAGTATCAAAAGCTCTTCCAAAGCACGATGGCGATCCTCCAAAGACAGAGATAAATTCTGCAAATCATCTAATGCAATTTGCATCAACTGTGCATCTGATGGCATTTTTAACTTTTCCATCAGTTCCTGTGCAACAGAATGCATGGGTCATTATGTCCTATACCACGAAGAAGCAAAAGGAATGCAAAAACTGCAAGCAACTGCAACGAAACAAAGGAGAAGGTTGACGTTTGATTAAAAGAAAGTTTAAAATTGAGACTTATTAAGAAGCAAGACTTTTGGGAGTTTTTTTATTATTATAACTTAAAAAGTGATTTGATGATAATAAAATTAGAATTGTCATAAGCTTAGAACTCATAAGTATGACATTTTGAGGGATTCATAAGTAAATTAGAAATCAGTTGAACATTAACTCAATATATTTTGGATTATGAAACAACATTATGAATTATAAATGAAAGAAATGACCTTTAGTAGCCGTATTGTTTTCAGATAGAAATCATATTATACAGTATATATTACAGATAGATTCATCCATACAAATGACACTTGTGATAAGTGATAACATCAGGCAAGAATAGCAGTTCAACTCATTTCTACAATATAATCACAATAATCAAAGACATTGTTGACTCAGTTGATTCCATTCAAACTATGTAGCACGCTATATTATGCTCTCTTTTTTTATTAAGCGAAAGTGATTACAAAGTAGTATGTATTCCAGAGACCGTCAACCATTTCACAATGAACTCTCAATCACTATTGCAATTTCCGGTGCTCGAATCCGTGACCTCTAGGAACAAAACGGTTCCTTAAACCAGTGAGGTAATTTGGTTGTGTTTATATTATGAATAATAAATTAGAAATAAAGCAAAAACCTGTATTTCCAGCTGACGCTGCCTAAGCTCCAAGGGAGAAAGACGTTGAACATCTTGCGCCTTTTCCTTAAGTTTTACCGGATCAGAATGACCTGATTCATAGAATACAATTGCAATAACGAATTTTTCCTCCAATAGTTAAAATGCCAGAAATATGTAAAAAGATCACCAAACCTATGGCCCATTGCAACATCCCTTCTAGGGTAGAAAATCCACCGTCGATGTCATCGGCGGTGGCTGCTGAATCATCAGCTTGCCCAGTATTGTGCAAAGGATCCCCTTCCTCTTTGGCGGTCGACCAAAACAGCCCAAAGGAAGATGACTTATTTTCGCGCTCAACCGAACTCGTCGCCACCGCCATCACCGTAAATAACAATAATGATGCCAATAAAGCTGAAATCCGAGCCATATCAATCCTAAACCTAATTTCGTCACTTGGAAACTACTGTGATTTTACTGCTATTCTTTGTTAAGAAGACAAGGTAGACTGTTCCTTAGACTGGTTGTTTGATAAAAAAAAAAAGGAAAAATTTTAGGCAGTTTCGACGACGGAACCTAAAATTATATTTAGAAATAAGATTATCGGAATTTAATATAAAATTATTAAAAAATATTATGTTATATTATTTGATTTATTTAATATAAATGTAAGATTATAAGGATTGGTTGAATGTATATAAAATTATTTGAATACATATTTATCAAATTATTCTTGTTATATATATATATATATTAACAATTAAAATTTTAATATTAAATTATATATATTTAAATAAAAATTAATAAAAATATTTTAATTATTACACTATTTAAGTTTAAATAAAAATATATTTAACATATAATTAATATAATTAGTATACCAAATTTATAATTTTAAATATTTTTTATAAATATCATATTTATTTATATAAAATATAATATAATATAAAAAATAATGTTATGATCTTGAGTAGACAAATATATTATTTTTTAATGTATAAGATCTATTTTTTAACAACTTAAAATTAAATATTATTTTAAATAATTATATTTTTTACCATAACAATGTTTTCACCTCATAAAATTATAAAATAATTAATATAGTAGATATTAAAAATATAAAATAATATTAATAATATAAAATAATTAAAAATATAAAATAATCAATAATCACATTTAAAATAAATATTCCGAATAACCTTTAAATATTTTTACTGAAAATGAACTTTCAAACGAAATTTTAAACAAAACAAATATTTTCATAAATATTTCCGAATAAACTTTAAACATTTTTGTAAATAAACCGATTTTGTTAACATTTAACGAAGAGACCACACATATCTAAGGAATAAAGTAGGGTTTTTATTTTTTTTCTCTTAACTGTCGCTTCACCTCTTTTCTTTGGTTTTTGTTAGTTAGTGTTGATTATTAATGGTCAGATTTTTTTTATTTTTTTTATTCTTATTAATTATATTTTTATGGTATAATTTTCAGTATTTTTTTCTATTTTTTGATAAGTTTTTAATCGTTTAACAATTCTTGTTTATTTATTATTTTAGGATTAGATTTGATATTCCAACCTTTTTTAATTGTTTTATCTCTGATTCATTTGTTAATGCACATTAAATTGTGTTTTTACCTAAAAATCACCCTAACAACGAAATATTATATGTCAGACACCATTTCTTCAAATATTATCGAATTAGCACTCTTTCTGACAAAGCGCAAATCATGAAGCGCGCCTTCACATGGTTCTGTCCGAGTTGGCACCAAGGTGGAAAGGTGCGGATCATGAGGCGCGCCTTCGCGGGGTTCTGTCTGAGCTGACGCCATGTTGGAAGGTGCGGATCATAAAGCGAGCCTTCGTGGGGAAATCTGACCTGTACAGGAAGGCGTGTATAATGAGGCACGCCTTCCATTATTCACCTACTATATTATTACCCGAGCCTTAAATCTCGGCTATTCACCCATCCCTTCCCCTATAAATACCCTCGACTGCAAACATCAAATCACACCAAAATTACTTTTACATTCTTCTTTTTATCAATTCCTTCTATCAAGATAAGTAGACCTTGTTATAGTTTTTAGAATGTAAAATTATTTTGATTATATTATTTTATATTTAATTATTTAACCAAATTTTATTGTACTAATTGTTTTTTTATTGTTTTTTGCGGTTGTAAAATGGAAGACGTGATCATATCTCGAGACATTTTTGTCGATACGGTAACAATATTAAATTATGTTATTTAAATTATTGTAATTTTTTTATTTTTTAGCATTAGTTTATATTTTAATTCGTATACCATTTATTTAATTAGATGTATTTTAGCTATTGTTTTTGTAAATATAGGACTCTCAGTCTTTCAAATTCTCAAACTCTTAACATGAGGCATATTTCAGTTATTCTTTACTATGATAGAAAAATTTGGGAAGGTGAAACTGGCGTTGTCTTTGCATCAAATCATTTTGTTAGAATATCCTTCAAGATAAAATCACTCTTGAGGAGCTTATCACTCAAATTTCAAGGAAGGTTCATGTTGAAAGTAGTAGAAGATTGTCCTCACTTCAGTACAGATTTCCAATTGCACTATTTTTGTTAACTTATACAGCGTTCGAACTCTCCAACGATGACGATGTTGCTATGATGGTTGATGATCATAATCAAAATTCAAATGTTGATACATAAATGTATGCCACATTTGTTGAAGTGTTTGCGGTTCGTGGTATGCCATTATGCTCCCACTATGGGCTGTCTCAACAAGTTGATCAATTTGACAGCCAAACTCAAGTAACGTGTAATGATTTTAACTCGTTAATGAGAAATCCACATCCTGATACCATCCCATCAAGTTCAATAGAGAGACATTCATTAGCAACTTGTTACGATCTCCACCGAGGTAGCTCCACGAACAATATGTATGACAACATCGCTTCCAGTTTAAGAAGAAGACATTCATCTACCAATTTCTTTGACCTGAATATGGAGATGCCCTTGACACATCAATTTGTTCAGTGCCCATTTGACATGGTCCCTTTAAGTTACAAGGGGAGGTATTCAACTGCGAGCTTTTTTGACCTTAATATGGAGATGTATGCGACACAACACTCAGTTCAAAACCCTTATGATATGATGCCTTGAAGTTAAAGGGGAATACATTCAGCTACCAGCTTGTTCGACCTAAATATCGACATCACAAAGGAACCCTTATCTCCACTAGAATAACCTCTTCGCAAGCCATGTGCAGATGGTGTTGAGACTAGACTATTCGTTGAGTCAGAAACACCGCAGTTCAACATAGAGTCCGATGATGATGATGTAGATGAACTTCACACAAATACGATACACATGAAACCTCCGACACACATGTATGAAGCTGATTATGGTGCAATGTACATGCCAAAATTTACTGATATGCCTAATGTTGGTGACTATGGATTTAACTCACCAGTCAATGATGGTGAATTATATATCGAAATAGAGATTTCATCCAAGGAAGAAGCAATGATTTTAATTAAGAATTACAATATTCATAATTTTGTTCACTCCAGAGTCGACTATTTTACCACAAAAAAATATGTTTACTACTGTGTTCAATGTGATAACGGATGCAACTGGATGGTTCATGTATCGAAGAGGAAGAAGAAAAACAACATTTGGGAATTAACTGTATACAAAAGTCCTCATATATGATGTGCTAGAGGGATCAACCATGACAAACCCAACTTGGGCTCCAACATTAACTGTTAAGTCGTCATGGCATGGTCAAAGCAAGCTCCCATATAGCTATTGGGGTGTTAATTTCAGCTATATAGTCTCAATATGGGTACATTGACTCCTATAGGAAATCATGGAAGGTAAAGTAGAATGTCATTAAAAAAACTTCACGACGAGTGGGATTCATCTTACAACGAACTACCAAGTTGGTTTAGGGTAGTGCGTAGACTGAATCCTGGACAATAGTCGACTTCAAAACTTACCATGCATACCACAATGATCGAGTGTTTCGTGATCGATGTCAATTCTACCAATTTTTTTGGACTTACTCACAGTGTATTAATGTTGCGGTGTTGGCATCTGAAATGGCTACAGTGGCATCGAAAATGGTTGCGATACCATCTAAAATGCCTGCGGTGGCATCTAAAATGGTTGTGGAATATAAACCAGTGTAGACGGTGGCTGCTGTGATGGTTTTGGTGCTGCAGTTGAGGACAAGGCAGAAGCTTTTGCTCTTCATCCATGAGTCGGGGGATGATGATGTTGTGACGGTAAACACTTTTTTCAACGCCGATAAATGCTCACGTCTCGTGCTTCTTCAAAAAGTAGGAACGACTTCCCATTCGTGTTAAACCATTAATAATAGTCATCCGTAACCGAATAATAATCGATATAAATCGACTCCGTATGGTAAATACATCCATGTGGCCACGTCGATCCTCCAGATCATTACCCAATCGTTGTGTTTCATCAGCCAATAGACATATTTTTTGCCCCGTCTATCGAGGTTATGCATATTGTCGAGATTCATAGGTGCTTCAGGAATAGATTGTACAAAACCAAATTGGTAGAGCATGCGATCAGTAGGATGCCACTCGATAATAACATAAAATATCATATGGACCACCGCCATCCATACATCTAATGGGCCACTCAAGTGAGATGGGATGCAATGCCTCATTTCTTCAGTATAATAAGAAGTTCATTGAAACTAAAACAAATATATATAATTCTTATCAAAATAATATTCTAATTATATAATGATAATTAAAGGTAAATAATAAAATTTAAATACATACTTCTATATCATTCTTTTGATAAATGAGAAGCTGGATTTCTTCCTATTCGTCTGGTATATCACAATGGTTTTTCCTTATACACGACCACCTGTTTAGTGTAAAAATATTCATTATATACTTAAAAATTATTTATATATGAACTCAGTATTGAAATTACCTCAACAATAATAGGAATACTAACGGTTTTTCACAACCGGTCATAAAAAGGGCATGCGATACCACACCCATGACTGCATAAGAATGAGACATCTGCCGATAGCATTTTTTTTTATAATCAGTTGCCTAACACATTTCTCTATACAGAGATGCCAAAACTATAGAGCCCTAATTGAATGAGCCAACAACTCAAAAATATATGAGGTGACGTAACCACATATAATAAACTTGGTTGCGAGATTTATCGGACATCAAGATACATCCTATGAGTTGTAATATGCAAGCCCGGACAAATATTTTAGCATGTTCCTCAGAACATTCTTCGCTCAACTATAAAAAAATTATAGCCAACTATGATTACTGTATTCGACCACTGTTGAAATTAGGCGGGATACTTCCAAGATACTCCTCACACAAGGAATTCCAATCACCATCTGCCACACCCGAAGTAACATCCCCATATACCGAAAGCCCCAAATGAATAAAAACATCTTCCAACGTAATAGTGCACTCCCCACATAGAAGATGAAATGTG